AATGTTAGTGAGTCTCATTCAGTCATTCCATTTTCTGGACTTTGTGTTGAAAGGAATGAACAGTGATCAGCAGGAACTTAAAATACAAGACTTGTGGTTTATTATTCGTGGCTTGAATAGGCTCCCCAAATAGCGTCTGAGCCAGTGTCCGCGGCATTGCTGGCGACTTCAGTTCTGTGAGCCTCCGCCCCTACCTTTCCCCACGTCCGCCCTGGGGGGTACCTAGAGCGCTGGCCAGGGAGACCCCGTCTGCCTCCTCGGAGCCTCTTTCTACCCAGGAGTATTGTTGGGCGCCAAGCAGCAAGGCCTAGGCAGGTGCCTGGTCTTCAACCCAGTCCCTTCGTCTGAGCTGCGGGCCTGGCCTCCTCGTCTGTGAGGGGGTGAGGGGCACAAGCTGCCTTTGGGTGCCTCGTGGTGGGGGAGCCTGTGGGCTGTGCCTGACCCGTGGTCCCCAAAAGTCACCGCTTGTCGTCACCTAAGACAAAACAGATGCATCTTGGGAGCATGCAGGAGGCAGCTTCCTGTCGTGGAGATGGTACAGGCTCCCCACCTCCCGGGACACGGCGGGCCGGGCAGTGCCCCTTCCAGCCCCCCTGGCGCCATGATGCTGCACGCCCGCCTCCACCCACTCGGAACGTTTCCAGTCTCCTTGCGCCTGCGTTAGTCATCAGCGCCTGATGCGAAGGGAGACCTGGGAGCTTCCAAGAAATACTGCCTTTAGCGATGGGCTGTGGTCAGAGCCATTTGTCCTGAGACGAGCAGGTGGGGGTGGGAACTCAGCTGGGGACGGCGAGAGCCCAGGAGAGCGTTGGAGAACAGCCTCCAGCTCCTTCGCCCAGCAGCCCTCGGTCTCCTCGGCTGTGCAGTGGGCACACTGCCCGATCCTCAGGAGGCCCTGCGCGTGGCCGCGTGGGCTTGTCTGCCCTGTGTGCTGTGAGGTGGTCGCAGGAAGAACGGGTGGGGCCGCTTCCCCTGAGCGGAGGCCTAGAGGCCGTGACCTCTGCCCAGCGTGGGCCTGATGCCCCAGGCCGGCCGGCTCCAGGGCAGGGCAGCCTCATCCTGCGCCCCCACCAGCCACCACGTTCCAGAGGGGCAGCGGGCCGAGCTTTAGCAGGAAGGCTTCGGTGCAGTAAACAGTGGCGGAAACACAAGCCCAGGCCCGCTGTGAAAGGGGACAAAGGCCAAGGCCCAGAGAGCCCGGTGGAGGGGGGGGTGACAGTGCTGTGGGGGCCCTGCCCGCAGCCCAGCGGGACCCTCGGGGCGTCGCTGCTCTGACCAGGTTCAAAGCTGTTTTGCTCCTGCCCCTGTACAGGCAGAACTTCAAAAGGCGTCTCCCGCTCTGTAATCTTGGTGGTTCCACTTTCTTCCCAGCTCATTTACTTGAAAATTGCTGGGATGCTGTTCCCGACCTCTGACCTCTGGCACCCCGTGGTGACGCCCGCGCTGGTGTGCCTGAGCCAGCTGCTTACCAAGGTACATCCTTCCGCCAAAGCCGATGGCCGAGGGGGTCAAGGACACGGAGGGTGTGACTCCAGAAAACCCCCTTCCCGTGGAGGAAGCATCACGTCTGATGGGGGTCCTGTGCCCTGGGCACTCACGCGGGCCCCGCATTTCCGGGTCGGGCCTGGGCTGGGCACTCACACGGGCCCCGCACACTGCGATGGGTAGAGCTCCGCTGAGGCTCTGCCCTGCCCCGGGGAGGAGTGTGGGCTCCCGCTCACCTGGGGAGCAGGTGGTCAGGGTTCGGACCGTGTCCTGACCCGTCACTGGCTCTGTCCCTCTGCCAGTGCCCCGTGCTGTCCCTCCCGGACGTGGTGAAGGGCCTCTTCGTGTGCTGCGTGTTCCTGGACTACGTGTCCCTGTCGCAGAGGTTCATACCCGAGCTGGTCAACTTCCTCCTGGGCATCCTGTACATAGCAACCCCCAACCAGCCAGGCCCAGGTGAGCTGCCGCGGCTGTGGCCGGGGTTGTACTGGGGCTTTGAAAGCGCTAAAAGGAAGCCATGCTCATTGTAGCAAGTGTGGGGTATGGAAGAGGGGGCGAAGACAGACATCGCACGTCTTCCCGCCCAGAGTAGCGCCCTGTTCCGGGTGCGGGCGTGTCAGAAATCGGGACACTCTGCCCGCGGTGGCCAGAAGCCGCACGTGGCGGGTCTGACAGACGTGCCCGAAGTCAGGCTCACCCAGGCAGCCGCGACCCAGCCAGAAATAGTCTCAGCTTTACATTGATGTGTTGAAATATTTCCCTATTTGGGGCTAAGTAAAACACACAGCGAAGATTTATCTTACTTTTTTACGTGGCAACAAGCACGTGCTGGCGCGCTCACGGGCTCCGCTGCAGGTCCGATGGGCAGCGCGTCCGCGTGGTTCCGTGTCTCCCAGACTGGGGGAGAGGTTTCTGACGAGGAAGTGCCCCCATTGGTCCTGCTCTGTTCTCACCTCCACTCCCTCCCGGGCTTCCTGCATCGCCGCTTCCCTCCTGCGGGGAGCCCGGCGGCCTTGCCTCTCGCTCTCCCTCCTGACCTCACAGTGACGGTCCTGGGTCCTGCCCGTGGCTGCCCCGCCGCCACGCTGCGTGCTCCCGTGGGCCAGCAGGCAGGGCTCGGGACACACTCACGCTCCAGGAATCGGTCAGGCAGCAACTGCGGTCAGGGCGAGTGTAGGGTGCGCTGGGCACGGGCCCGACCGCGGGGTGCCTGCTGTGGCCCCTCACCCCTCTCCGTGTACCCGCCGCCCCTTGCTTTGCCGGGCCCCCCTGCAGGCTACTCCCTTTGCCTCGATGCTCTTCTGGGTGATGACGGGTGAGCCCTGCACACCACAGGGTCCTCCCCAGCCTTCGCCTGTGGGACAGCCTCTGACCTGGTGAACTCTGCAGCCCCCCACCCAGCACTCCCGACAGACCCCTCGTCCTCCTCAGCTTTGTCACCCATCCCTCACGTTCAGTCCAGTTCATTCGTCTTAGGGGCCATCCCCCGACTCGGCGGTACAGCCGTGCGTTTGTGAAGAGTGAGCCTGATACTCAGAGGCGCTCTGTCCCGTCCCCTGGCATCCAGGTTACGCTCTGGTGCACCCGTTCCGACCCCTGGGGAGGAACTCGGAGCTGCTCGTGGTGTCTGACGAGGGGGACGCGGCCACGTGGCGGAGGAGAAGCCTGTCCCTCCACTGGGCAGGCGCACGGCACTCCCAGACCGCGACGGAGGCCAACCACACCAGGTACGTGCGGGCGGCCTCAGTGCCACCCAGGTCCCGGACCCGAGCGGGCCCGCCTCATCTCTGCAGGTGACAGGACCTTATGTGTAGAAAGCTATCAGCTCTAATAACTGAATTTAACAAAGTTTGCAAAAATCAGTGGCATTTTTGTCCTAACAGTCACCTGTGTGAAAGGAAATTGCCAACAGTTCCCTGTACAGTAGCATCAGGAAGAAGAAAATACTCTATTTTATTTAACCTTTAGAGCAGTGGTTCTCAACCTTCCTCATGCCGCGACCCTTTAACACAGTTCCTCATGTTGTGGTGACCCCCAACCATAAAATTATTTTCGTTGCTACTTCATAACTGTAATGTTGCTACTGTTATGAATCGTCATGTAAATATCTGATATGCAGGATGTATTTTCATTGTTACAAATTGAACATAATTAAAGCATAGTGATTAATCACAAAAACAATATGTAATTATATATGCATTTTCCGATGGTCTTAGGCGACCCCTGTGAAAGGGTCGTTTGACCCCCAAAGGGGTGGCGGCCCACAGGTTGAGAACCGCTGCTCTAGAGGAACCTGCATGTTTGCGCAGTGGCCGCACAGCCTGCGTTCCCACCAGCAGTGCACGAGGACCCAGGTCCACTAGGGCCTCGCCACGCTGGCTTTGTTGTTGTTGTTTGAGTAGCCACTGCTGCCATCCGCACAGGCGGGAGGCGGTGCCTCGCGTGGTTTGGTTTGCGTTTCCCTGGTGGTGAGTGAGGCTGGGCCTTTCTCGCGCCTGTTGGCCCCTTGTATGTCCTCTTTAGAAAAATGTCTGTTCAAGTCCTGATGGCATTATTTCCATGAAAAAAACTTTCCCACAGTATTATTTTCCGAATATATCTGCTTGACCTTGTAAACAGTAATTCAAACCCTAAACCAGGGCCCGCTCCTGGTGGCCACGGCATCCCCACCCCCCCCCCC